ATAAGATGTTAAATAATCACATCCATGTGAGTTCAATTTTCATCTTATTCAAAATTCTTTATTTTTATTTTGTATAAAGAGATATATAAAAAAGTTACATATTAAATTGTATAAATTAATACAAAATTATCTTACAAATGTGTAGACACAAGTAGTTAGTGCGGTGTATAATAAGGTTCTTCACATTTTTATGAGTAGGGTTTGATTCCCATATCACGTGTTTTTTCTTTAAATTTCTTTTTAAAAGCAGCAACCAACATATCTATGGTCGAATCAGTTCGAGTTATAACCCTACGATTTATCGGTTCCATTAGAAAATCGACTGATTCACACCAACTTCTAACAAGTCAAATGCATGAATGATCGAATTCAAGGCTCAAACTGACTAGAAAGTCAATTCTCGATTTAATCGATTTGACCGACCAATTCGAGCTTACTCTAACAATAAATTTACTTAAACTTTATTTAATAACTCATGTTTCATATCAAATTTCAACAATCAAACTATTAAATTGAAAATATTTTTATGATTATCCATCAATTTAAATTAATGAAACAAAGTATCAAATAATTTTTAAATTTTTAAAAATTAGTAGACTTGATCCATGCATTAAAAATTTTAAATTCAACCGTTGAATTGTTAAAATTTGATGTAGAATATAAATTATTAAATGAAGTAAGTTTAGTTAAACTTATTTTTGAAGTAAACGAGTCTCTCCCTCTCTTTATATATATATATGCTAGACTCTTGATATTTAAAAAGTTATTTTGAACTCACTTTAAGAGAACAAAATCGTAACTCCCTGAAACTTATTTTATATATATATAAGATTCCAACACACAATCTTATTTAAATAAAAATAAACTTTATATATATATATTATCATTTATACTAACACAAATTGATTTTCTAAGTCACAACATGAATAATATAAATATAATAATCTTGTAAGTTTTAAAATTAACAAATAATTCTATATTTTTAATTAAGAGAGTAAACACTTGATTCAATTCTAAAAAAATATATTCAAATTAATTTAGTCACTAAAGAAAAAAAAAGTCAGCCAATAATCCTTCGAAATTATATTGGGTTAAAATTTTGAAAAATAATTTTAATATGAAAAGTCTTGTGAATTTTTAAAGATTTTGTAGAAATTTCATGACTTTTAAATTTTTTTAAAATACTTTTAAAAGTTAGATTTTAATCAAGACTTTGTAACTCAAATTTTAATAGATTTTGATGGATTTTTATTATAAAATTTTAAAAAATTTAATGGATTTAACAAAAAAAAACATGGATTTGTAATACTACAATATTTAATAAAAAAAATATAACATAAATAATAAAGAAAAATAAAATCAACACAATTTTTTTTTATCTTTTAACAAATAATTATTTCTATCTTTTGATAAATAATTGACTTTAATGTTCTCCTAACTAATATTTTTTCACATATCTAAAGTTATACTAGTTTCGTGTATTGACATATTCTCTTTCATACACTTAAGTATGAATAATATGTTCAAAATTATGATCTTTATTAATTGGTAGTATTGAAGATGAAGATGAAGATTCATCCACTAATTCATTTTGAGGGTTATTTCCATAACCTGCAAATTCTTCTTAATATATGTTTCAAAATTTTATATTTCAATATCAAATTTTATTAAAAATAAAATAGTTAAAATTTAATAATTTAACAATATATAATATTTAATAATATAAAAATTACTTTAAATATTTAATAATTAAAAAACACAAATATTGATAAATTACACATCAATTGATAGATAAAAAAAATAAGAGAAGAAGAAGAAAAGATAAATTAGAGAGATGAATAAAAAAAAAGGAGAAAAGAGTCAGAGAAACAAAAAAGACGAGAGAAAATGAGAGAAAAAATGAGACGAATAATAAGAGATAAATGAGAAATATAAATAAAAAGAAAAAGGAGAAAATGATATAGAGAAGAAAAAAAGAGAAAGAAACAAGAATGATAAGAAAATAGGAGAGAGGAACAAGAAATATGAGAGAAAAGATTGTGTTAAGAGAGAGAAAAAGGAAAAAAAATAATAGAAATAAAAGAGAAAGAATCATAAAAATCTCAAAGGTTTTGATGAGTAAATTACATGTAAATTATACTAAATTCATTATTTAAAATAATCCATTAAAATATCTATATTTTTGAATATGCACAATTATTTTTAAGTAAAAAAAAAAATCTTAATCGAATATCATCAGGTTTTATTGGACTTTTAAAAAATTTATGATTATCTTAATTAAATATCTTTAAATTTTGACATTTTTAAAAAAAAAAAATATTGATTAGCCTAATTAAATACTCAATGACTTTTTTATATTATTTTTTTAATAAAAAAATCTTTTAAAATCTATTAAAATTTTAATCCAATACATCTTAAATATATTTTAATTCTTAAGTTATATTAGTCCATGAAAAGTGAATTGCGCATTAATTTAGTTGAAAAAATAATTAGTGATTTAAATTAGTGCATTAAAAATTTAAAATGCTAACCCAAATGATCAGAAAGCTGACTACGGTGTAATATTTCTAATATTAAGAAACTATTTGGTAATTTCGTCTTTTCTTCTTCAAAAACTAAATTAGATTATTATTATTTTTTTAGAAATTGAATTACGTGTTTATTACATTACTTTACACTATCATCGTTATAAATGCATTTAATATACTGATATATTATACAGCCTACAGGTTTTGTAAATTATTTTTAAACAGTACATTATAATTATAATTAAAAATTTTGATTTATAAGAGAGTGTCAAATTTAAATTACAGCATCGGTTCTATTGTATTGGACTTGGACTCGTAAATGCATTCCACTTTATTCTCTTAATTTCATATACTAATAACTAATAAAAATTGGTATACTGTAACAAAAGAAAATATGAATCGCCATAGTTCCCTTTTAAATCTAATGATGAGTGTCAACTAACGAAAGCACTATGAGAAGACATCTTTTGGATTCACTTTAGACCAGGTCAATGCTCAATCTACACTTATTAGTTATATATACTTCACATTCTTATTCTCAAAATTCTCTTTGATTTCGGTATATGCATCTTATTGTATTGAATTCACCAACTAATAAATCAAATATTCTCGATGTATATTTTATTAATTAAGTAAATAAGAAAGACAAAGTGGTAAGTTAAAGAATGATTTAGGGTAGCAAAGTTCAAGAAAGATATATATTTTTTTTTAATTTTATGATATAAAATGTTATATAAAGGTAGAAAAACCTCAACTAAAGGACGTGATACCATATTTTGTGCAAACTAGCTAGAGAAGCACTAATTCTTGCTCCCTTGCTTGGTAGGCCATGGGATGATAATTATTATTGATGACCGTACCACCAGTCTCTATTGCTTTTCTCCATACACATATATCTGTTCACACCTTCCGATCTACTCTTTCATGTGTTCATATTTGTACTATTTTTTTTTCTTTTCATTATTGCCAATCAATGATGCTATCAAACTCAAGTTATGTAGGTCAAAATTGAAAGATCCATGAAAAACTTTCTACACTTACCGTGATAATAATAGACAACACTAGTTATGTTCAAATGAAAACTTACAGGTTTGTAACCAATGTAGCCAGCCATGATAAATAGTAAAACAAAAGTATACATGATATCACTGAGCCAGTACAAATGCAAGGAAGGAGTACGAATATCTGGTGAGAAAGAAAAAAAGAAAGACATAGTGTGTACCACACTACCAAATCTAGAACCGTTGATCTAAATAATATGGTACATATTCATTTTAACTTTACAGCTAAATGTGTCCATGTCTATACCCCAGGTATATAGAGTCTGATGATTTGTAATTTTTCTTAAACTCAACACAACTATGATGGATCCATAAAACAAAAAATAAATATGAACATAACTGTGATGGACTAAAATTTAGATACATGAACACAAGTGTGACACTTATTTTCCTTTCTCCCTGGGCCTGCCACATTGTGTTAAGAAGCCCATGACTTTTATATTCCGATTTTGGTTTTCTGATCCCTCAGTTTTTTTTTTGGGAGGAATTTTTATTCTATTTCTCCCCTCTACTCTCCCTTTCCCCTCCTACCCTCTTAGCTTCACTTTCTCATCTTCTTTTACCATTTTTCCATTTTCTTTTTCTATAAGTACTGTTTCTTTCTTGTACTATATTTTGATTTAATTGTATTTTTATTACTCATGTTTCATGATTTGTAAATTTACACATTTTACCACTCAAATTTTAAAATTTTGATCATTTTATCACTTCGTTAATTAATATTTTAATATTGTTGATTGATCAATGATATGGTACGATGACTATTAATATGATAGGTTATGTTATATTTGTGAGTGTTAGTAATTAATGTGTTACATCAATTATTAATATGTTATGTCAATTGTCTATGTGATATATTAGTAATTAATATATCATATCAACATTAAATGACTAACTAATATAATAATAAAATATTTTAAAAATTTTATAATTGGTAAAAAAATGCGCAAACTCCAAAGGTAAGTAATAAAATTGTGAAATATGGATAACAAAAATGCAATTATACCTTTTTTTTTCTTCCAAAAGTTATTGTATCTTATTGTTTCTCCATTTCTTTTTTTTTTTTTTTTTTTGTATCACTATGATTTCTTTTTTGTGTCACCAATTTTGACGAAAAATAATTTATGGCTAGTGGGAGAGAAGATAATGAGACAAATAATGTATAAAAAAGAGAATGACTTTATTAATAATATAAATATAAATACACGTTGAAAACTTGTTTAGATTAAGGATATTTCTGTATGAAAAAAATAGGGGTGAAAGTGCAAAAATTATGGGCCGTGTAAACAGCATGGATGAGCCCAATTAAACTCGGGCCAATATCCAAAACTAGCCCATCAAACCGATCCCACGAGACACGACCGGTGTGCATCCCGAACCGGGTTTAACGAACAAAATTGCAAGAAGCGAAGAAGTTAGATGCTAGTTAGATCTTTGATCTAAACAGAGATCGGAGAAGAAGAAGAGAAGAGAATGGGAACGACGGTGGCGGGTCTAGCGCCGGGTCTGTCACGGAAGCTGAAGAAGGTTCTAGAATCGAGGATCGACACGCCTGATCTCTTGTCTTCGCTCAACACGCTCTCTTCCTTCTACGATGAGAACACTCCTCAGGCGCGCCGCAACCTCCGATCCACCATCGAGAAGCGATCCCTCTCCATCAACCGCGAATTCCTCGACGCTTCCCACGCCGCGCAACTCGTAATTCCTCTTCCGCCGCCTACGATGCAAATCTTCTTTTTCTTCTTTCGCTGTTACTTCACCTGCTTCCGCTGCTCTGATTCGGTTCATTTCTCCTGCATTTGCTATTTTAGGCTTTGGATAGCGTGGAGAACGAGGTTGATACGCTCGCCGAGTGCTGCGACAGGTGCGGCTTTGCGCTTCAGAATGTTCCTTAGTTGCAGTTCTTTGCTTGCGTGTTTATCATAACGAGTTGATGCGTGTGTGAGTAGATATCGTGTGCTTTCATGCCGAATTGGACTCAGTTTCTTTGCTCAGTCGAGTGATATTCAGATTCATTCACTTCTGCTTGTGTAGGAAGTGCACATATGGACGATAATCGCTTTGTGTTCGAGTAATTGATTTTAAGATAAAAGAACAAGCACATTGAGCTGCAACTAGGAAGTGCTTAGTAGAGCTCATGTATCAGTACTGCTGAAATAAGTATTCAAAAATCGAAATGAGATAATGTTGTGAAACTTGACTAATTGATCATTAATAGTTTTGCATCATAGTAAAGAATGTATCCAGTAGAAGCATGTTCGCTCAAAGATTACCTTATGTTGGGCTTGTAAAATGTAGGTGAAGGAGAATAATGCAGTTAGGAAGAGGTAGTTTCTATGTATCCCGGCATTCAATATTTTAGGGGACACACTTATTATTAGTCACTTATCTGTTTGGTTTTATCATTCTGATGCCCTGTACATATATACGTTTTACACGCAAAGAAATCAATGTGTTCCATGCGCAAAAAAAAAATAATTTAAAAACAGCTATAGTTAGGAACAAAATAGGTTTCTCAGCGTGTAGTGTATGTGTCTACTGTCTAGTGTTCTTGTTCAGATTTAGAATGTTTTCTTTCACTTAATAATAGGAAGTTCTTGGGATTTTAGTAGGTCATTTGTGTGAAATAATTAGGAAAATTTTGCTAAATCATGTACTAGGCAGACAGTTCCATGCTAGCAATCATGTTAGAGCTGAGTTTGGTTTGTGATCTAGAGAGATTCAATTTCTGTATTTGGCGTGGGATGTTAGCATGTGATTCTCAATCTTGGTTTAGCAGTGGAGCTCCTTTATCACTAGTTTGTGAGTTGTGTTCTGTTTCGTACTTTAGCACTTTGTCAGGGATAGGATTTAAAATTTTTCCTCATAGCATATCAAGTTTACATTTGATAATGGAATTGTCTTATTGTTTCTTTCAAGCAAAACAAATTCTCTATTCTGCTAATCTATAGATCCTTTAATGAACTTTTAGGTTCTATATTTTTACAGGATAGCTAAGGCTTTGAATAGTTGTAGTGCTAGCACTGCTGACATTATCAGTACCACAGAGAGGCTCAAACAAGAGCTTGAAAGTACTACACAAAGACAAGAGATTGTAGCATGTTTCTTACGTGATTATCAGCTCTCCCCTGAAGAGGTTTAAATTACTTTCTATGTCTTGAACTTTGGCTTTGTGAATTAAATGAGATACTTGTTTTATGTTATTGCTTACAAGTAATTGTTGATCAACTGTAGATAAATGCACTTAGAGAAGAAGAGCTGAATGAAAACTTTTTCAAGGCATTATCTCATGTCCAAGAGATTCATTCTAATTGCAAAGTGTTACTTAGGACACATCATCAGGTAATCTTCTTGTTGTATCTATCCCCTTATATTATGTGTGCAATTCTAAACCTGTTGTCTGAAATCTGAACTAAAAATGCCTGTAAATTATGAGTTTATTACTTTATTTAGGGATACACTTCATCCTCTTAGGGAATAATTTTTTATCCTTGACTTAAAGTGGCAAGAGTTCTGCTAGTTTTCTGTTGCTGCAAAGTTGGTAATAACGTTACAAAGATTAATGTGGAAAAAGATTTACAAGAAATCTAAAATTATATCATTTATGGAGATATTTATATAATGAGTGTAGCGAAACAAGAAGGTGCACATCATTGGGACAAAAATGAAAGTTTCCTGGATGCAAAAGCTCTGTATTATTATTATTCAATAATTTGACTAATTTTTCCTTAATCAACCCTAGTTTTGGTTGTCTGAATTTCAAAGATTCCCATTATTGATAACTCAAAATTCACAGTAAGATGTTCTGTGATTAAATAGGATTAGACAAATTTTATTCACTTTATATTTATATTTTTCTGTTATACATGACTGAAGCAGCTGGGTCTTTCTATTTCTTCATGTCACTAATTGTTGTATGCTATTTGCTTTGTTACTATTTTCACTTAGTATTGATCTTTTCCTGGCAGGTTTGCTCCACATACTTTGCTGCTATTTTATCAGTTTAAAATAAAATTGCAAATTATTAAATTGAGGAATTTCATGGCAGCGAGCTGGTTTAGAGCTGATGGATATGATGGCTGTGTATCAAGAAGGAGCATATGAGCGCCTATGCAGGTGAAGATTCATCTACTTCAGCCTCATCTGGCTAGACCTAGAGCATGCATTGTATTTTATTTGTGCGAGTTACTACAAGCATGAACTGTGAATTTCAATATCTGTATGTATAGTTGATATAAATGTTGAAGATAGACATTTTCTATCCAGTATTTTCTCAAGGTCTCTTGCAAGTTGTTTCCTTGTATTGAGATCAGCTAGCTTAATGACACACACACACACACAGATATATATAACAACTTATAATCTTCATTTCTAGGTGGGTTCAGGCTGAATGTAGAAAATTGGGGGACACTGACAATCCGGAAGTCAGTGAGCTTCTGAAAACAGCTGTACGCTACCTCAGGGAAAGATCTGTCCTTTTCAAATATTGTGCAGAAGAGGTAATTCCATCATATTGATTTAATCAGCTTTTTTTTTTTTTTTTTTTTTTTAAAATTGACAGTTCTAGTTTTTGTTTGGGATTAGAAATCGGCTATCTTCCATATGAATATTGAGATATTTCAAACTCTAATGCATATTATATTGCACCATCTAAGGATGGGTATGATGAAATAATTGCTAGTGGACCTCATATCAGTAATAAAATCTAAAGAATATTCTTATTGTCAAATTGAAACATGGATTGTCTTCATCATCCTTTGCCTGTGCATCATAAATTATTGGTTTACTAATTCTGCAGGTAGCCAATATGAGACATAATGCACTATTTAGAAGATTTATAAGTGCTCTTACACGTGGAGGACCTGGTGGATTGCCTCGACCAATTGAAGTCCATGCTCATGATCCACTACGATATGTGGGTGATATGCTAGGCTGGTTGCATCAGGTATGACATGAAATCCTAGTGCTTGAAGCCTCTTCTGAATGCTATTTTTCTGCCATGGCTTATTTATTCATATGTTTTTTGTATGTATGCAGGCCTTGGCATCTGAACGTGAACTTGTAGCTGTATTACTTGATCCAGATGCAATTATCGATAATGGATCAAAGCAAATCTCGGATAACTCTGAGAATGGCTCTGGGAAGACAGAGTCTGACTTGAAGTTTGTTCTTGATAGAATTTTTGAAGGAGTATGTCGACCGTTCAAATTGAGAGTTGAACAAGTTTTACAGTCTCAACCAAGTCTAATAGTATCCTACAAGCTCAGTAATACACTTGAATTTTACAGCTACACTGTGAGTTGTCATTTTTGTCCTTTTCTCTTGATTGTAGTAATCCATATGTTATATATTCTAAATATCTTATCATTTCTCATGATCTTATAGATCTCAGATTTACTTGGACGAGAAACTGCACTTTGTAATACACTCTGGGCACTGAAAGATGCTTCTCAGAAAACATTTTTTGATATTTTGAAAGGTCGAGGGGAAAAGCTTTTACGGTATCCCCCACTTGTTGCTGTTGATCTTTCACCACCACCAGCAGTGAGGGAAGGTGTATCTGTACTTCTTGAAATTATTGACACCTACAACAGCATGATGTTTCCTGCTTCTGGCCAAAAACCTGCTTTTGGTCCAGTTATATCTGCTACACTGGATCCAATAGTTCAGGTATGCTTCTCAATCTGGTACATGCATTTGATAATAGGTAGCACAATCATTCTTCACAGTCATGAGCATGGACTTCAATTGATAGCACGATCATAATGGATCCAATAATTCTGTTGACAATCATTATGTGGTCAGAGTTTGAAAATCTCTATACTTGACTTGATAGCTATATATGACACTGAGTGCAAAATATCTCTGTAGAACTTCAGCCCTTGGATTCCAATATATTTTTCTTGTCTGAAACTTTGGAATTTTCTTCCTGGTTCTCTGGGAGCTAAATTGTGCTGTCTTGCCTGTTGATTTGTGAAATCATGCTTGCATACTCTATCCATGAGCTACTTTATAGCACTGAGCTCAAGGATGTCTAAATGATGTAGGTTGGGCCGCTAGTTAGTTAGTTTCTATTTAGGATTTTTTATTTTGTAAGTTGGGCTTTTGAGTTATTTCTTTAGGAATTTTGTACATGTCTGGTAATGCTTAATTTTGGAAGAAACACTCGCCTATTTTTTCAAAGTTATCTTAAAATGTTGGCAAAAATAAGTGATTATTTTTTTCAAAGTTAAACCAAGTACACATCTTTATATATAGCAACTGTCTATATATAGGCCACTGCCGTAGACCTTGAACTATTTGGCTTTTGAGTGATAATAATAATTATAATAATTTCTACTCAGTATTTGATATTGAGTTGTAGGAGTACTCTGCACCCTAGAGGATTACTCAAGGTTTATTACCCTTTGTTTCCTATTGTAAAACATCCAATTTGAAAACAGATCTAAATTCTGGCTATTCACTTTGAGAAGTCCATTGCTGTAATTTTAATTAATCATAGGAGATCATAGCTTTAGCTTCCTATTTGTTGCAGATGTGTGAACAAGCAGCAGAGGCACACAAGTCGAAGGGAGTTGGCCACTCAGCAAGAAGGAGTAGGATGAGTTCTGATTCTGGTCAACTTACTAAATCATCAGTTGATGCAATCTTGTCAAATAGCAGCTCTGCTTCATCCTCACTGGTCTATTCTTGCTCCCTTGTTTTGCCCCCCCACATTTAACTTAATTTTCCCTTCTCTTTTGAGTTTTACAGATATTTGCTGCTTGTAGGGTTTTAATTTTTCTTCTTCCTATATCAAACTATGCATTTGCTGCAAACTTTTTCCCTCTGCATTTTCATAAATAAAGTGAATGCTATTTAGCACTAGTTAATAAAATAGAAGTGGAAAGTATTCAATGAAAAAGAAAGAAACTTTAATATTGAAAATGCAAAAGTCATGTAATACTTTTGTAATCAATTACAAACACTTAATATAATATATTAAATATTTTATTAATCAGTGTCTTTAAGATATTCATTAGTAAGACAATAAATCCCAATGATCTATAGTTATGTATGTGCTTTTCATTTTCCCATGTTGGTGCCTGAGTCTATGTTTACAACCTTTTAAAATAGGTTCTACAAGTAATTAAATGAAAACTTTATTTGAATGTAGAGACGGAAATTGCAATAATCTGTAATTTGACTGGAAATTTTCTCAAAGTAATTCCATGACATGTTGTAAATGTATAATCGTGTGGACCAATAAATAAAGTCCCATATTCCAGTATTCGTGGTATGAAGTGGAAGGAATATGGGAATGGGAGAACTTAAAACATATATGGAAGGACAACATAGTCAGAGTTTGGAATTATTTTTAAGTTCCTTGTAGAAGTTTTATCCAATGTAGTAGCTTTTGGTTCTGTGAGAATTTTTCCTTAACCTATGTCATGTTTTGACAGACTAGTGAAACCCCTTCAAAGATCTTTCTCATTAACTGCTTGTGTGCTATTCAACAACCTCTTTCTGGATATGAGGTGGTTGCTGATTACGTTAAAAGACTTGGAGCAATGATAGATAATCACCTGCGTGTTCTTGTGGAAAAAGAAGCTGATGCAATCTTAAGAAGATGCAATTTGTCAGAAAAGATGCCTCACTTCTACAGTTCAATCGATAAGGAAGGGGACAATGAAGTGGGTACCCCATTGGCTGAGATGGAGGACACTAGTCCAGCCATTCTTTCAGAGTGTTTGAAAACTCTGTTTGGCCTTATCTTGGGAAGTGAAAGTTCCCTGCCCGAATTTGAGCAGATACAGGTTCCAAGGTTGCGTTCTGAAGCTTCTATTGGCGTGGCCAGGTCACTGGCCGAAGCTTATGAGCTTATTTATAAGGCTATTATGGATCCGAAGAATGGTTATCCGGACCCCAGATCGCTGGCAAGGCATCCTCCTAATCAGATAAGAACTATATTAGGAATATAAGTTTTGTTCTTTTGTTTTGCCCCGACCTGTTTTGCTTAATGCTTATTATGTTTGTTAATTACGTAAATAACCTTTTTTCTTTTTCTCTCTCATCTGAGATTGTATTGCTGTACAAAAAACTTCTGTGATCTACACCCTGCTCTTAACTTTTGAGATGCTTTATTGGAATTCTATTTTTGTTGTCATTATATTCATTAAAGGCAATCTTTAGTGGTTATAAACTTCCCTTTTCAAAATTTCCTAACAAAAGTTATTATGGTGTCATTTTATAAAATTTGATATTAGATGTTGTATGATTATATAGTTTATACTTTCAAAATCTTAATTTGTTGAGAGATTTAATTAGAATATAATTTATATATTTAAAAGTATTTATTATAAATTTAAGTTAAATAAAATAATTTTTTTATTTTGTGCATATGTTACAATAATAGTTTTCTCTTAAATCTGACAAATAATACTACACAAATTAAATTTTGGTGATTATTGTCTACACAAAATGGCAAAAAATGATCTAATTTCAAAATTTAAGAAAGCAATCATCAGATGAATTTGTAATTTGCAAGCTGAAGAGGGGGGATGATAATTGATAAGCTCCTACTCTATATCGGAGCTGGAGCTTACTACAAAATATTTGTATAATTTGCTAGACTCTTGCATTGCATGTGTGGGTTAAAATCTATGGATAAACTTGTGTTTACCTTTTAAGGCAGTAATTTTCGTAAAAAATACATAAATAATTATTGATAGAGAAGTCAGGTAGTGATTTTAACAAATATAAATTTATTATGTGTATAATATTAATCATTATTTTTTGTTATCAATAATGGTTAGTATTTTTTTTCCTCTAAAATGAGTAAATTGAATAACATATTTTGAAAGAGTCATACTCAACATAATTTTAATAGAAAAAATAATATATTACTACAAGTCTCGTTAAAAAAAAAAAGTAACTTTCAATTTTTATTTAGAATAAACTAACAATATAGATACTTTTTACATTATTTTTTTTTAGAGGAAGATACTTTTTACATTATTAAGCAATTACAAATAGTTATATAAAATAAATTTATTAACATTCACAGTAATCAATAATTATCTTAAAAGATTATATTAAGAATATAATAACACTTACATGGATAATACATACTTATTAAATATCTTAAAAAATTATTTAATACATTTTATAAAATTTATTTTGATTAAGGTGGAACTTACATCTTATAAAAGCTTTTTTTAAGTCATCTTATAAAAGTTTTATTTATTTATTTATTTATATTAGTCAATAATAAAGAATTCAATAAATAAAATGTGACTCCCACTTCTCTTTCATTGTTTGTCAAAAGTTAAATGCCGGTGTGTACCCAAAAAAGTCAAACGTGATTGTAGTGAAAAAAGCATCATAGTAAAGAAAAAAAGAAATAAAAATAGAGAATCATTGTCTCCTTTTTTCAAATCAAACGTGGCAGGTGGCACAAAGAAATGAAGAAGGATAATATATTAATTTTATAAAAAAATAAAATATATTTTTTCATTTAAGTTTAACAAGTAATTTCAAGTTTTTTTTTTTATAAATGGAAAAAAATCAAAACAGAAAATTAAACTGTAATTAACATTAACCAAACATCTTGATCAAATAATTATAAGGCTTGGATCGAAATATCTATCTCTGTCTGTGCTTATAGTAAACATTTCCTGGTCAACTGTAATAAGATCTTTATTAATAAAGATACAACTGTCAATAAAAAAAAAAATCAGCTAAAATTTTGTTTTCTTCTTTTCATCCATGACCTTAAATTTACAAACGTTTTTTATTTCTTTTCTCTTCACTCTGGGGATCTAATAATGAATGCCTGAGGTCCCCATGAACATCAGTCGAAGCATTAGCCTATGACAACTACCTTTGGTTTTTTTCTCACCACTTAGTTGACAGATTAGGATAAGTGAAGAATTGAATTGAATAAAAGCAAAAGCAAAAGCAAAAGCAACAATGAAACCCCAGTGAGACAAAAATCTTTGGAAGTTGGAAGCAAGCATCAAAATTGGTGTTCCCTTCAATTCATTCTCCGATGGCAGAATCAATGGGGGGTGGTGACACATTGAAGGCCCACGTGGGCATGGCACTGGTGCAGCTATTCTTTGGTGGCTACCAAGTCCTCACCAAAGTGGCCCTTAATGTTGGGGTCAACCAACTTGTTTTCTGCTTCTACAGGGTTTCCCTTGCCTTCATTATTCTTGCTCCCATCGCTTTTTTTCTTGAAAGGCACGCTCTTTTTCCCTCCCTTCTTCTCTTCTCTTTCAATTCAACCATTAATGATTATGCTATACTGGAAAAAAAAAAAAAAAAAAAAGAAGAAGAGAGAACTTAATTGATTGCTATCAGAATGTAAAAGTTTTTATACTCTTATCTAATCACAAATTATTATTGGATTTACTTTTATAACAACTATTTTAACATTTTATTTTAAGTAGATTTATGATTAGTTGGTACTCGGTAGTTTATAAACTTTTACATTCACAGGATATGGCAATTAAACTTTGAAAAATGCTAAAAATAAAGTCCTTTATTTTTAATCTGGGCTTTAGCATGATCATTGTTAAACATGTCTTCATCTGAATAGCCAATTTTTTCTTCTTCTTTTTTTGAAATAGTTGGTTCATGATTCATGAATAATATCGGAGCTTTCATGACCAAAGGGTGTACTTTACAATCTTACTTCCTTAATTTTTCTAATAAAATGTTGAGTTTCAGTGCAAAGGCTCTTGCCTCTCTTGCGTGGAAGGACAAGCTAGAGTTGTAATGTAAAAATCAAGGGAAAAATCAAGGGAAAATTGCACTCAATTTCATCTCATGTTTTTTTTAAATGATATACATCATTTTTCTAATTTTTAAGGAAATATTAACCAATTTAATTTATTTATTTATCTAAATGATACATACAATTTCTTATATAAAATAATATTATTCATGTACTGTTAAGAGAGAATAAATTGTTAATACAAGTACTAACAATTGAATGAGACTTAATTTCTACTTCAATTTTAATTCCCAAAATTATATCCTAAATATTATGCATATTGCAATTAAAAAAATATATCAACTTCAAGAAATAATTTTAAATAATTCAGTTTTAGTAGAAATAGTATTCATACATAAATTTGTGGTATTAAACATATAGTTTCACATGTTTTTTTGAAATATAAATATACATTAAATTGCTCTCTTTATGAGATTTCATATTTTAAAAATATTAAATAATTTTCTCATTTTCAACACTTTCAAAAATATCTTTTTCTATATAAGTAAGTAAACAATCATTTAATTATTTATATTGCTATCAAAATTTTGACATTTTTTTCTTTTTAAAAACAGTATAATGAGTTTGGATCAGTTAGCACTCTTTAACTTTTTTATTAACTTAATTTAACTACAATTAGTATTCTTTCCATCATATAATATATCTTTTTAGGTTGTTTTACGTAGATTAGGAATAAAAAAAACTATGATTGATCTTCTTTATTATAAATAATGCAATACAATCCACATTCTAAAAAATATTATGAAGGGTATAAATGAAATAAAAGGTAATTAGTACTATATTGAAAAATCAATATGACACTTATTTTGAGACTTATTTTTTCTTTAAACACGACACTTATTATGAAACATTGACACCTATTATAAGATAGAGAGGATATTATATATACAATTAAACAATACTTCAAAAATTAAAATATTAACTTTAACTTTTTTATAAAATAAAAATACAGAATAAAGTGGTAACACTTAATTTTTAACATGACAAGTGTGTGTCTATTTCTTATGCTAGTCCCATTTTATTTTTTTTTGCCTTTTACCATTATGTATTGTTGAACAAATTTTCAAGGAAATGAAATAATTATTTTACTATAAAAAAAAATACATGACAAGTACATTATTATAAATTTATACTATGTGTATATAAAAAGTTAAAATATAAAAAATATTAGTGAGGGCATTTGTCCCACTATGATTCATGTGGATAAGTCCCTAACTGAGAAATTATTTTCAAAATTTAAGAATAATAAAAATTTGGTTAAAACCTTTATTTGGTCCCTTATAATATTTTTTTGTTTTAATTTAGTCTCACTTTAATTTTTTGTTTCAATTTGGTCCCCAATAACTTAAATTATTGCAATTTGGGACTTCCGTCCAAATGATTTAAACGGAGTTAACTATTGGCTACGTGGATGCCACGTAGATGCATAGGTGGATGCCAAATTTCATGAATACACCTAGAACCAGAACGACCCGTTTTGAAACCAGAACGGTCCATTCTGCTTGCATATGTTACGTTTTAATTTTGCAACCAGAACGGGCCGTTCCAAATGCAAATTTAACACACCATGAGTGCATCAGAACGGGCCGTTCTGAAACCAGAATGGGCCAGAACAGCCCGTTCCAGAACGCCAACTCCATGCATGCGTTGACAAAAATGCCACAATGTGATTCAAAAATTGAAAATAAAAATTCATAACATATCATAAATTCAAAGACAGAAACATGGTTCAGAAACTAAAAACAAAAATTCAGAACATAATATATACTAAAAAAGTTCAAAGAAATTACTAAGAAAGGAAATCATCTAGGTAACGCTGAAGGGAAACCGTAAACCACAAAAATTCAGGTTGTACCTCCTTAAGGGAAGGTTGTTATTGTTGGGGTACATCGTCAATGACTTCAAGGGGAAACACCGTTTCGTTTCATTCTTGACTGTATAATGTCAATTTGGTAGTAAGTGGTTCACTCCAGTTTGACTAGTAATGAAATAAAACCTGCTACCATTGTCTTTAGTGATACACTGCATCGTCCTTAATGATACACTGTATAGCCCAAATGTTTAGCAATTGAAATTATCAATCCCCATTGACAATATTACCAAATTTAGTGTCCAAATGATTCTGGAACCAAAATGGGCCGTTCTGGTTCCAGGTGTATTCAAGAAATTTGGCATCCACCTACGCATCTACGTGGCATCCACCTGACATTCACGTGGCCAACAGTTAAATCCGTTTAAATCATTTGGACGGAAGTCCCAAATTGTAATAATTTAAATTATTGGGGACTAAATTGAAACTAAAAATTAAAGTGGGACAAAATTGAAACAAAAAAATATTATTAAGGACCAAATAAGGGTTTTAACCTAAAATTTTTTATAAATAAAACATAATATTGTACATAATTCAAAAACAAATGATAAATACGCATATGATTGATAGAATAATATGAATTGACTTTTATTTTTATTTTTATTTTTCTCACTTTAATGATGTTCTCAAGGAGATGAATGATTTTTAAAAAACTAGAGGAAAGAAGTGAGTCATTTAAACAAAGCACAAGGAAAGGGAGTGTAATTTTCCCTAAAATCAATAAATCATTCATGTGTTTTCGTCTAAGACGTGCTAGAGATGTATTAGTTGGTTCATGATACTTATTGTATGAAATTATACACTCGAGTTTATAGATATCTCAGTTTACTCCTTGCTAGTTTAGAGCGTTTTTGGTATTTAACTGAAATCAATTGGCTTATCCTTGTTTGAGGTACATTAATGATTCCACAGACCTAGCTTAATGACCTGCTTTGCACATTTAACTGGATTACACACTCATTTTTTGAAAGTGGAAATTTATAACATGCAACTTTTTGTGCCCTCTTATGAGTTGTGATATTCTTCTCTTTATTACTGATTTGTGAGTAATGAGTATCATAAGTATTCATTTTTATCATGCTGACTGTAGACGGACTAGACCACCCATTACCAAGAAGTTACTGTTGTCATTCTTTTTCCTTGGATTGACCGGGTAAGATTTCAGGCTATAGTCACCTATTTTCTATTTTCATGATATTTGAATGGGATAGTCAATAGTGTTTTATTGATGCATATGGTATTTTTTTTCTTCTTGATTCATAATCAGGATATTTGGCAACCAGCTCTTGTTTCTTATTGGTTTAAATTATACTAATCCGACTTATGCTGCTGCTGTACAGCCAGCCGTTCCAGTCTTTACATTTCTGTTTACTGTAATTATGGGGTCAGTTTTGTTCTTATCCATTCTACTTGAGTGTTTTATGATATGTATACAGTTTATTCATTTATCATTGATTTATCTTAATGCACAATCATAATTGTAGTACAGAAATGTGTATATTCATGAAATTATTCATACACACCAGGACAATGAAGTTGCTTAATGAACTTATTCATGCAGGATAGAAAGAGTGAACTTGCTCAGATATGAAGGTCTGGCAAAGGTTGGAGGAACTATTGTCTGTGTTTCTGGTGCCATATTGATGGTTTTTTATCGTGGTCCAGCTTTGATAGGAGATGAAGAAATGGAGAATGTTGCACAAATTAAAATAAGTGCTAGAGGTCAGCAAGAGGCTTCTGGATGGTTAATCAATAGTTTACACAATCTTGGATTAGACAATTTTCAACTTGGGGTTATATTCTTGATAGGGAACACCTGCTGCATGGCTGCTTTTCTAGCCATTCAGGTATCTACATTTTTATTATATTCATTAAAGGACATTTTTTTTTAAATAAAATCCATCAAATGATTGTTCTATTAATTGTAGCATTAAGGGGAAAAAATGATCAATGCCACTTGTTGCCTTTATTACCATTTTACTAAGCCCCTCCTGCTATTTATTATTGGCATGGAAGGCTGGAATAACTCTGTTAGTTCTTTGAAATTCTCTTTTTCACACCAAGGGTTTGGATAAATTTTTTCAGAAATACTTCTAGAAAAAAATGAAAAAAAATATATTCATAAGTTAATTTGTAGAATTTTTCTCATATTAACTTCTCCAAAAGCTTATGGAGAAACTTATTTAAATTTTTCTTCTTACTTTTGTTCTCCTAGAAGTGATTCTCAATAAGTTTATCCAGTCAGGCTCCAATTATTATGACGTCTAGCAAGCTCTTTAACGGTTTCTCACTGAGTGTTCTTAGGTGTTTCTCTGAATTAGGGGGGAATGCAGCGAGGGAAAATCAATTGCAATATATTGTTTTATGTGTACCCTAAAAGCTGAAACCTTCGGAAAACACCCTTTATAAACTCTTACTTTTGCTCCCATTCCCCTCCATTTGGAACACATACTCTGATATTGGACTGACTGTGTTGCATGGATATCAGTACAGTATGAGGTACAGGTGTGGGATATGCGATTTTTGAAAAATATAAGGTATGGGTACGTTAATGTAATTTAAAAATATGTTTTTATTTACATAAACCTAAGTAAATTGTATAAATAATAATAAAAAATACAAATAAACAACACTTGTCATTTGAACTATAATATCAAGAATAAAAATTAAAAAACCTAAAGCATGATTATAATATCAAACTTGAACTATGATATACACTTTAATTATGATATATCACACTTCAATAGTTTCAATCTTATCATAATTTACATGTCTAACTTTGGTTCATCAAGAGAGAGTAATAATTTTAAGAATGTCAACCCTTTCAATTATATCCTATTCATCTCCACTAACATCCCACATGTATAACTCTCACTCTTTCTTGTGAGGAGAAGGAAATTTGTATGTATAGAAACTAAATCCTCAACTCTCTTAGACATGATATGTGCCTAAAAAGTTCTTATGTGTAGCCAAATTAAGTATCTATTTTTTTTTTTTATAAATGTTCTGGATGTGTACTCACAAGTACCCGATACGACATGAATTTTTGGAGTACCCATACTTCAGACATGTTAGACAACTTCAAAAAGGTTTGACATTTTTCTTATTGTTAAACCAATCATTTTGTACTTGTTATATCAAATGAAATGACTTTTTTCCATCACCAATATTAACATTAGACCATTCCAAATCTCTCCATTGATTAGTTCAGTTGTGCTCACTCCTCAAATTCTATGAACTGATTTAATGTGATCTTCGGTTCTTTTATTTGTGATATTGTTGGCATTAATAATTTATTGTCATTATTTTCAGGCGCCAGTATTAAAAAAGTATCCTGCAAACTTGTCTGTCACAGCATATTCATTCTTCTTTGGAGTTGTACTAATGGTGATCGCATCATTATTCATGGTTCATGAGTCAAGTGATTGGATTTTGACGCAATCAGAAATACTAGCCATTGTATATGCTGTGAGTCACTAGAATTTTAAATCAATCTCCAATTTCATGAACCCTTATTAGTCATTGTTGATCATTTGGTCCATTTATTTGATGCAACCAGTTGTTTGTCCTCTAAACATTTTGTTTATGGTTTTTATTGTCTATTGTTTTGCAAAGAACAAATTTGTTGGGATTAGATGAAAATAAATGTTTGTGTTGCATATGCTAACTTTTGTATTGTTGATAATTTTTTAGCCGAGTGTCATCATGCCAAGCATTTTGAAAAGAATATGAGAAAATTAGATCTAGTTCTTTAGTTTCTAAATTTTTACCATCAAGTTCTTAAGTCAGACAATGACATGTGGATCCCCTCACCCAAATTCTACAACATATTCTTGATGGACAAGTGGATCTCCTCACCCAAATTCTACAACATATTTTTGATGGACAGTATTAAGTGTTGAAAAAAATTCAATTTAATAGTTTAATTTGAAAACTTGATATATAGAAGACTTCAATGCATTTTTGCCATTCATCTTTCACATTTTTACAAATTTTGGCACTGAACATTAGATATTATTCATTTTTTCACTTTATTAGTTGATTCCTAATGTATCATTTTATGTCACGTCATATATATATATATGTTACATCAAAAATTCATGTCAACAATTAACATATTACATCAATGGTCAATTAATTGGTGACAAAAATGAAAAATTTTGAAAGTTGGATGAGAAAATTAGTAAAAATGTGAAATATAGGTAACAAACAGAGCAATTAATCTTATATAGAATTAGATGGAAGTTTCATCCTAAAAATGTATCCAGAATATCACTAATGTAATTTTTGTAAAGCATTTAATTAAACACAAAATGTGTCCTAGTGTGACCCCAACTCATCTGTATGAACCACGTAGATATGCTTACCTAATCAACGACTCTTTCACTTTTGAGAGAGAAATTCTTTTGGCCTCATATGAAAAGAGATGTTCAAAGATTTTGTAGTAGTCGCATAGCTTGTTTACAAGCTAAGTCTACCACAAAACCTCATGGACTATACACCCCCTTGCCAATATCCAATGCTCCTTGGGTAGACATTTCCATGGATTTCATCCTTGGTTTGCCTAGGACCCAAAGAGGAAAGGATTCCATCTTTGTGGTTGTGGACCGATTTAGTAAAATGGCACATATTATTCCATGCCACAAAGTGGATGATGGAAGTAGTGTTGCTAAGTTATTCTTTCAAGAAATAGTGAGACTCCATGGGTTACCTAAAACTATAGTCTCTGATAGAGATGTTAAGTTCCTTAGCCATTTTTGGAAAACTTTATGGGCAAGGCTAGGAACTAAACTTCTATTTTCTACCGCATGTCATCCCCAAACTGATGGGCAAACTAAGGTAGTTAATAGATCTCTTGGGACTATGTTGAGGGCAATCCTCAAAGGCAACAAAAAGTCATGGGATGACTATCTCCCTCATGTGGAGTTTGCCTATAATAGAGTGGTCTACAAAACCACTAACATGTCTCCTTTTGAGATTGTTTATGAATTCAATCCTCTCACTCTTTTGGATTTATTGTCCCTTCCAGATGTTGCTTCCTTTATCCATAAAGAAGACACATCTAGGGCTGAATTTGTCAAAAAATTGCATGAGAGGGTTAGAAATCATATTCAATCCCAAACAGAAAAATATACAAAATACAATAATAAGGGTAGAAAGGAAGTTGTCTTCCAGGAAGGCGACTGGGTTTGGTTGTACCTTAGGAAGGATAGGTTTCCTTCCAAAAGAAAGTCCAAGCTTAGTCCTAGAGGAGATGGACCCTTTCAAATCCTTAAAAAAATAAATAATAATGCCTATGTCCTAGATCTCCCTTCTGAATATGGTGTTAGTCCTAGTTTTAATGTTTCTGATTTGTCTCTCTTTACAGGACTTGCTACCCAAGAGGAGGATGCTTTGGATTTGAGGACAAATCTTCTTCAAGAGGGAGGGGATGATGGAGGAGGCCCATGGGCCAAGGGCCCAACTACTAGGGCTATGGTAAAAAGGATCCAAGAGGAGTGGGCCCAAGCTTAAGGAAAACCCATCATACTTTATAGTTGGGCTTTGACTCAAGCCCAAGTAGAGTAGGAGTAGTGTAGGTTTGGGCCTTAGGGCTTGTATTTCTTTTAGGCCTTGTATTTCCAGCGATTATTAGATTAGGAATTTCATTTCATGGTCATTTGAATTTAGGGTTTAATTAGGGTTGCATGTGTATCTTCATTAGAATATAATTAGCAGATCTAGGACATAGGCATTATTATTTATTTTTTTAAGGATTTGAAAGGGTCCATCTCCTCTAGGACTAAGCTTGGACTTTCTTTTGGAAGGAAACCTATCCTTCCTAAGGTACAACCAAACCCAGTCGCCTTCCTGGAAGACAACTTCCTTTCTACCCTTATTATTGTATTTTGTATATTTTTCTGTTTGGGATTGAATATGATTTCTAACCCTCTCATGCAATTTTTTGACAAATTCAGCCCTAGATGTGTCTTCTTTATGGATAAAGGAAGCAACATCTGGAAGGGACAATAAATCCAAAAGAGTGAGAGGATTGAATTCATAAACAATCTCAAAAGGAGACATGTTAGTGGTTTTGTAGACCACTCTATTATAGGCAAACTCCACATGAGGGAGATAGTCATCCCATGACTTTTTGTTGCCTTTGAGGATTGCCCTCAACATAGTCCCAAGAGATCTATTAACTACCTTAGTTTGCCCATCAGTTTGGGGATGACATGCGGTAGAAAATAGAAGTTTAGTTCCTAGCCTTGCCCATAAAGTTTTCCAAAAATGGCTAAGGAACTTAACATCTCTATCAGAGACTATAGTTTTAGGTAACCCATGGAGTCTCACTATTTCTTGAAAGAATAACTTAGCAACACTACTTCCATCATCCACTTTGTGGCATGGAATAATATGTGCCATTTTACTAAATCGGTCCACAACCACAAAGATGGAATCCTTTCCTCTTTGGGTCCTAGGCAAACCAAGGATGAAATCCATGGAAATGTCTACCCAAGGAGCATTGGATATTGGCAAGGGGGTGTATAGTCCATGAGGTTTTGTGGTAGACTTAGCTTGTAAACAAGCTATGCGACTACTACAAAATCTTTGAACATCTCTTTTCATATGAGGCCAAAAGAATTTCTCTCTCAAAAGGGAAAGAGTCTTCTCAATTCCAAAATGCCCCATGAGCCCACCCTCATGGCTCTCCTTTACCAAGAGTTTCCTAATAGATCCTTGGGGAATACAAAGTTTATTTTCTTTAAAAAGAAACCCCTCAGAAATATAGTAACCTTGATAAGGTTTTTGAATACATAAAGAATAAAAGTTAGCAAAATCAAGGTCTTTCTCATACAA